AGGGGGCGAAGGGGTTAGAGCCAAATAATATTATTAATTATTTCTTATAACAATTTCTTCTCTTTTGGAACAGAGGGGCGGAGGGGGAGGGGGCGAAGGAGTTTCAGCCAAATAATATTATTTTTGATGAAAAAAATTTCTCTTTTGGAGCAGAGGGGCGGAGGGGAAGGTGGCGAAGGGGTTAGAGCCAAAAAATATGATTAATTATTTTTGATGTTTTTTTTTGGAACAGAAAGATGGAGGGGGAGGGGGCGAAGGANCTCTTATGGTAAAGTATGTATAGAGCTATCGGAAAAACCCCGGTCACACCGGGGTTGGCGAGCGGAGCGAGCAGGGGGCGTAGCCCCCTAGTAATTAATATTATTATATGGCTCTAACCCCTTCGCCCCTACCTCTGCGCCCCTCTCCTCCAAAAGAGAAAAAATTTTATCTAATATATTGTAACATGATAAAAATCATGTACTGTTCCTCGCCTGAACTGACCGCGGATCAGGGGGGGAAAATTAGTATTTTTACCTCAGCAAGGAGTCGGATCACACAAGGCCACAATTGCCATTTTATTTATTTTTTATTTNTTTGAGAGAGTAGAGAATTGGGGTCGGGTGCATCACCGGGCCAACTCTCTACTCTCCACTTTTGTAGAAAGTAGAGTTGGGGCTGGGTGCGTCACCGGGCGACNCCCTAGTAATTAATATTATTATATGGCTCTAACCCCTTCGCCCCTACCTCTGCGCCCCTCTCCTCCAAAAGAGAAAAAATTTTATCTAATATATTGTAACATGATAAAAATCATGTACTGTTCCTCGCCTGAACTGACCGCGGATCAGGGGGGGAAAATTAGTATTTTTACCTCAGCAAGGAGTCGGATCACACAAGGCCACAATTGCCATTTTATTTATTTTTTATTTCTATTATTTACTTTCTTTTCATCATTCTCTCGAACTCTGTCGATCGCGCTCACCGTGGGTTACGTGACCTTCGCGACGAGGGGAGTGGAGCGGAGCATCGGGAACGACTACAAGTCGGCACTACAGCAGATGACGAGTAGCACACCGACTAGCACGCACACACCAAGTCTGGGAGACTCGCACCACGAAGGACGTGAGAGACGATCGACGGACGCCAGCAGGCATCTCAGGCCTCTACGTGCGAACCCCCACCGCCTCACCGATG